CACTTGAGAAAGAAACCAGAAAAAAAAGAGGGAAAATATCTAACACACCCCAAGGTTTTTGCCATGGCAGGGAACAGGTTATGAAGACAAGATGCTATTTGGTTGCAGTGCCTTTGTCCCTGAGGGTGATTATCTTGGTGATGAATGAACATGGAAAGACAGTGACTTTATAAGATCAAGGCTGAAGTCACGACTGGGGCAAGAATATTCTGGCTCAAGCTTTCACCAAGCTGAAGGCGGGAGCAGAGAAAAAGTGCACAAAAGAACGTTTTGGGATAATGGAAGTGTTTTAAAACTCCAAACCATTGAATTGTACATTTACCATTAGTAAGTTTTATATGAAACTTATGTCAGTAAAATTGTCTTTAAAAATAGAAATTTTCTAGCTGTGTGCAGTAGCATATGCCTATCATCCCAGCACTCGGGAGGCTGAGGCAGGAGGATCGCTGTGAGTTATAAACCAGCCTGGGCTTCATTGTGAGTTGCAGGTCCGTCTCAACTACATAGGGAGACCCTGTCTCAAAATACCAATAAATAAATAAATAGAGAAATTTTCTGGGAGGAAAATTGGAGTCTACAGCTTTTACAAGGCTACCATATCCCTGACCAAAATCAACTTAATATTTCTCAGTCTTAAATGTGTCTTTGCCATAATTTTATGTTCAAGACTTTAAAAATTATAAGTAATATGATCTTATTTTTATAAGAAAAAGAGGACAAATAGACAGCTTACTTGCAAAGGGTGAACAATCCTACAGAGCTCAAGCTCTTCTGCAAAAATATGTGTCATAATAAGAAAAGGAAGGATTTTTAATGAAATTTTGATAAAATCAATTAAGCTGTCAGAATTATATACCAAGTAGGTTTTGTAAAGGCAAAAGAAATATAAACAAATGTGCTTATTTGATACACAAAAGACTTAGTTTATGCTTATAGTTAGCAAATTACATTGATTTCAGGTGGAGTTTATTTTGTAAACAAACATTCTCCCATGATACTTTATAGAAATACATCTTTTGCAAAAATGGGTTCAAGTTCAATGGTGACAGGCACTTACCATAAATGAATCAGGAAGGCCGTATTATATTATGGCCTGCCAGAGAATTTCCTGTTGGAATACATTGTCTCTCTCTCTCTCTCTCTCTCTCTCTCTCTCTCTCTGCACTCAATACTTGGTTTCCTGTCGTTATTGGTACGTGTTTGCAATACATGATATTTACATTTGTTTTGGGGAACTGTTGCATATACAACTTGTCTTCATCGTTTTCTTTTAAATTTTAACAGTGCATGTTTACAATACATTAATGATTACATTCACTGTGCGGAGTTGGTGATGCACATAACGCATTTTAATGCTTGTTTCATCCTCATCAACACCCTTTCCTCCCCTTTTCTTATCTCCTACTCAGAGAAGCTGCAGGAGCTGTGAGCTGTTTGTCACACTGGAGTGGGTTCCAACACTTGGACACTGTTTCGGACTAGGAGCCTGTGTTGCCGAGTCTTACAATTTCTCAAGAGAAGTAAGATACTTACAAGTTTATACTTCTAAAGCAACCTTTAGTTTACCAGACTGAAAATGAAAGGTTTTATCAAGAGTTAGTGAGCCTGTTGATTTATCTCAGTGAGTCTGTAGCCTGCCTTCTAAGCACAAGGACCCAAGTTTGATCCACAGTACCAAAGGGGAGGAAAAAAAATGAATTAGTGGCTCTCATGCCGTTTATGCTGTAGAAGTCTTTATTTGAATTAAATTCTTCATAGAATTCCAAAATATGAAAAAGAAAACCAAGATTATGTTTTACATTCCTCAAGATTTGCTGTCATTGTATGGGGTTCTAAATAAAAGTTGGTAAAATAAATGATTTCTTACCTAGCTTATTTGGACATTTAATTTTGTACCCAGTTAACAGTAGTAAGTGACTATGACAGACCAGATGTTGTTCCTAAACCAGTCTTGAACTTTTGTGGGTGTGCGATCTCACAGGCAATGATCAAACATACGCACCTGAGGGCAGAGTACAGAGCATGATAGAGGCTGAAGAAAACCCTGATAGTGGCAGAGGAGGGGAAGATGTCACCCAAAGTGACATTTCCGCTGTGCCTTAAAAGTTGGGTTGAGTTTTTCCAAACAGAGACAGGACTGGTTGCAGATATCTGGAAGAAATGTGCTCGTGTGAAGAAATACCCAGGTGTGCAAGGGTATGGCTACATCCAAGAAAATAAGGCAGCTGAAGCACAAAGGAGAAAGAACCCGGAAAGGACACATGGGCCTACTTACTGATAGGTAACCCAGTTACAGTAACACTCACTTGTGTATAGTATCAGACATTGAGGAGATGGTCCAGGGCTCAGACTGGCTTGAATATGAAATATTCATTCATTGAAATTAAAATCACAAAGACAATCTGTTACTTTAATAAGGTAAATCATTTTAAATATTATATATTTATGTAACACAAATATGTTCTGATATTTACACAAGCTATTCATGGGTTTAACTTTTCGCAAACATTTCTTCTCTTAACTCCGACTCTTCCTCGATGAAAGTCTGTTAAGTTATTTCAAAACAGTTTAAATTATCCCAAACAACTGAAGCACCTTTTCCATGCAATACTGGGTGTTGCCTCCTCACTGAATACAGAATGAATCTTTGTTCAAAAGACAAGTGGGAAGAGCCCTATGAATATATTTAACATGGACTATCAAATTTAGAGAAGGAGTAACCAAACATTATATATCTCCACGATTGACTCATACCATAAATTGCACATCCAAGTTATTTGAGCCTTTAACCCCTTCCTGAACTACTATACCACTTGAGAAAATCTGGTATTAATTTTGTTCCTCATATATTTAAAAGATATATTTTATAGGCATTAAACATATTGAGATAGTGTCCCATTTGTCTTGAGAGACCTTAGAATTTAAGAAAACATTGCATATTTAGGGCCCAATTTATTTTAATGCTAAATAAAAAAAAAACAGCTAATTGGATTCTCTATCATTTAAGCCTGAGTTGCTAAGGTTGTTCTATTATCAATGCCTGACATGGGCATATGGTAGCGTTCAATTAATAAATTAAAGGAAGAAAATAGGGGAAAAAGAGGAAAGATAAGAAAAAGAAAATAAGGTTAAAAGTTGAGTTAGTTTACAAAAGGTGATAACATCATGTGACTTATTAAGAAAATTAAGTTCACAAATTCGAGTCTGAACTTCCAAGAAGCCACAGAGAAGGAAAAGCACAGTTAAAGATTCCACAGAGTAAAATTCAACAAGTAACTGGGAAGAATGACAAATATCCCAGGTCTTTAGAATGAGGATGATTGAAAATGTATTTAGAGTTTGATAGTCAGTGATATCTTAAGCAAATAAATGAAGTCTCTAAAAAGCAAAAAGTATAAAGTTCTTTTTTATTTTTTTAAAGTATAGCGTTCTTGAAAGGGACACTTCTCAGGGAGCAGCAGTGACTTACAAATCCTCAATTTTCCCAATAAAAATGCAAGAAAATTGTTCTTCATTACAGAAGTTAAAATAAGCTAAACATATAAATAATTACCAGCATTACAATTAACCTCTGGGGGTTAAAGTATCATCATTTGAAAAGGAGTAGATGACAAACTGGTAGAATGGTCTAGATAATCCTCTAGCTCTGAAAAATTATTAGAGATCCACGACCAAATTTTTACTTGAATATCTGCTAAGCAAGATCTGTCTCTGGAGAAAAGACGATGTCCACACAGGCACATACATGGTCACAAGCACACACATACTCATAAACCTTTGAATGAGTATTTTGTAATATTGCCATTGTGAAAGTAGGTTAGATGCTAAGGTATTTGCGTGTTACCATAGCAGGAAAAATTCAATATTTGCACATCAATTGATCCGTGAAAGTCAACAAAGAATGGACAGCCTCTGTCCTCCTAAACTGTTTATCTGTGAACCCAGGTGAAAATTGGGAGCTCTTGTCAAATATTCAAAACTTTTTGATAGCTTTGGCCAGACATTTTCAAACTAATATGTATATGAATGCTTGTACAGAATGAGGAAGTGAACACCGTACTGTTTTAAACTATGCTTGTGTTTAAGCTTTCTGGAACATTTTCCATCACTGAAAACTCTCAAACAAGGACACAACAAAGGAAGTTCGGCTTTAAAAACCCTGAGAACAAAATTTGGCAGAACAAACAGAGCTCTCAGCAACTGGATGAGAATAACAAAAGAGAAGCTAGCAAGAAATAAACAATCTTAGTAGGAATTTTAACAGTTGATAACTGAATCTACACAGTATTTAAGAATGTGATTATGTTCTGTCTCTGAGATGCCACAAATGTGTAAGGATATATATTATATATATATGCATAACATATAATCATATATATGATATTAGACATATGTCACATGTATATCCCAAATTTTTAAAAAGGAAATATCTGTAGACCTGGTTTAAAATATCTTTAATTCCTTTCTTCAACCTCAGAAAGAACAACTGTGTAACAAAACAAAAAGTTTTTTAGATTATTGTTACAGTAGCAGGAGCCTAATATTTTTCTATAAACAAAATATTTTGGGTATGTTGTTTTAGTGACCTAAAAAGTATGTATAGTGCTGTTGCTAATTATATGACTTTCTAAAGACACAAACAGGTCTTGATGAATTTTGCCCTCAAACCAAGCACATTTTTTGTTCAATAAAGTTGATTGTTGCACTTCTGAGAAAATCAGTATATATGAAAATATTGCAAAAATTACTTTGAGTGTATGCATTCAATAGTGTTAAATTCTATGCTCAGATAATTTATTATAAAATATTTCTTTTACCAAATGAATGTTCAAACTTCAAAATATCATGTTCGATATGTTCTGAGTTCAATTATGGTTTCTCACACTTCATATTTTGAAGTCCTATCCTCCCGTGTAGTGCTGAGGACAGTGCTGAGCAGCAGCACAGAGAAAGTCAGCAGGGCTGGTAGTGAGACAGAGGAACTCACCAGGCATCCTTCAGGACGTGGCTGTCAGTGATCCAAATCTGTTTCCCTGGAGACTGTAACAAAACAAAAATAACTAAGACCTTAAGGCGCTCACTTTACCCATCCCTTTGGGAGAGCACCTTCTCTCAGGACCACAGAAGTGGTGTAGCACCAACTGAAATCCCAATGGAAATGTCACCATCCTATAAGGCACTACCCTCAGGAACCTTAGGGTCTATATGAGAAAGATACATCAATCACATGGCCACAGTTGTAACCTGACAAGAGACCCAGGACAAATGTTCCAGAAATGGAAGATACTGGAAAATAAAGGATTGGACATTGGGAGACTGTTTTGGGGCAAGAAACAGTGCGTGAGATGCTGAGGCAGGAAGGTGTGTGGCACAAGGGAGGTGAAAAAAGAATGCAGCGCCTGGCACTTAGACAGTGAGGAAGGAGTAACCCAAGATGAAAGCTGGGCAAAGGTCAAACTGGCTCTGATGGCACCCATTAAGGTGTAAGCCCAATGGTATGAAGCATATATCAGGCTTAAGTTTTGAGAAACATCGCTGGCTGCCCAGAGTGTCACAGTTGATGACAAAGGTTCAAGGTACTCGATGGCCGTGTCAGATACTCAACACCGGGCTGGAGCGGCTCATTTTCAACACTTCTTTAAGGCAGTGAATCATTTTTACTTGTAACACTTTTAACGTAAATGTGTGACAGTTTTCTTTTTTGCAATTTCTTTCAAAAATCTTCAATTAGAAAAACAAGGTTTAAAGACAAATTCATTGAAATGTATTTCTAGAAAAACAGTGGAGAATGTGCAAAAAATCAACTCACATGTTAATATTTTCTAATTGTTCCTTGGAATATCATTACTATTGGAAGCCTCTTTTGATGAAGCTTCTTTTTTTTTTTGGGTTTTTTAAAACAGGGTCTCACTATGTAGTTGAGACTGACCTGGAACTCACTATGTAACTCAGGCTGGTCTTGAACTCACAGTGATCCTCCTGCCTCAGCCTCCCGAGTGCTGAGATTACAGGCATGCACCACCATGCCTGGCTTATTTTTAATTGGACAATTTTATATTCTGCATTGAAATGAAAGTCTGTTGACAAACTGATAAAGTACAGCATTTATTTTTGAAAAGCATTAAAAATAATTATAAACAATTTACATAAAATTTTGTCTTGCAAAAAATACTCATTGAATGGAGATAAAATTGAAAATATTATGACTGCAATATCTAAAAATTATAATAGATAAAAGTTATGTAAATTCAAAAACTATATTTATTAATTAAAATCAATTAATCTTGTTAAAAACACTATCTTTGATTTAGTAAGATTTACTGTTTTACTAGATATTGGCACTTATGAAAAGAATAATATATCAATTTAAAAAATAATCAACCAAAGATGTCAGTAAATTGAAATTTAGTAACTATAAATGTAATTTTGAAGGCTACAGCAGGAAATTTTATGAAAAAAAAATAACTAGAAGAATGTCACATAGAAATGCATTCTTCAAAAAAAGAGGTAATAAAATAGATAAAACCAAGAATATGTACCCAAAATTAATGTTGTATATTTTAAAATATATACTGAATTATAAATGTGTATTTATACATATAAATATATATATTGAAATAAAGTAGTATTTACAAAATAAATGTATGCTTTAAAAGACTGTTTGAATAAAAATACCATATAGCTCTACAACAATAAAAATTAACTTTTAGGTACAGACTCACAATTTGTTGGTCCATGATATACAAGGCTCGGAGGTCATCACTTCATCTTAACAAGAAGTAAAAAGCTGTTGACCAAAAGACTGTGACATATCAGTTCCACTGTTAGGACGAAATGACTTTCAACTGTGGTTAGATAGTAAAGAACTGTAGTGCTCCCTACTCAGTGACTGGGAAATGTTAATACTTTTGTAAATGTCATATAATTAATTTCCAAAGGAGTATGTGTTAAGTAAAAGTCTGTAAATAATGTTAATGAGGCAAGTTTTTCCAGCATTTATTACTATTTTTTTCTACTTGTTAGGAAGCATTTGTTATTTTCTGTTAATAGTACTTAAAACTGCAACTTCTAACCACAAAATGAAAATAGAATAGTTATAGGAGGAAATTATTTATTTGATATTCCTTAGTGAACTTGTATAATTCCTCAAGTGGACATGGTTTATTTCCTCAGAATATTCAAGTATCTATGATAATCTTTTGACTTTCTACATTTGTTCTAAAATAATTCAGTGTGAAAATAAAGATTACACATAAGGCATTTTTTTCAGCTTTAATTAAGTTTATTGGTACATTTTAGGGATACAGTACAGTTACATTCATTGTTGGGATCTTGTACCACTACATGACAAGTCTTGATTCTCATTTTTTCCCCTTACCCCTGCCCTCCCTTCACCCCCTCCACATAAGGCATTTTTAGCAAAACAAAAAAGAAGTAAAAACCTGAAAGACTGAAAAGCTAATGCCTCTTCTTGGATCTAGAAGAGAGGTAAAGACACAGAGCAAACCTCTTCCTGCAAAGTCGGAGGAACAAGGTGAACACAGGAGCCACAGTTTATAAAACAGGCACACGCTGGCCAAGAATGCAATAGGAACCACTGTTCAAGAGGAGAAAAAAGGAATCAGCAAGTTCGTGGAGGCTTCACATATGCACGACTGAGAATTGAAACTGATCTCTGTCACTTCACCAGATTCTCATAGTAAACTGCATAGAAAAAGCCCCTTGGGCTTCAGACAAGAAGAGAGAAAAATATCCATTTTGAAATATTCCATACCCTAAAACTATTAGAATTTTATCAGAATCTAACTGACATGAGAGATGGGCAAGACCCAAGTCCAAACCACTCTACTCGACCTGCCCTGACTACAGAGGGGTAAAATTCGTAACTTGTACAGTGTTCAGCTAGAGGTACAGCCTCTTAGAAGACTGAAATATAATAAGAAGGCTGTTAGGCACCTTCTTACACAACTACTCATCACATTATACTGCAGGCCATAACATGAAGTTTGGAGAGATTGTGTAAGTATAATCAGACTCAGGCACAGCAGGGATGGTGCTCAATAATTTGGAATTATGATTAATATAATAAATACTCTAGTGAATAAACTAGGCAGCAAGAACATATAGACAATGTAAGCCAAAAGGGAAAATTTCTAGGAAATAATCAGAAAGAAGGTCCAGAGATTAAAAAAACATTATCACAAATGTAAAAAATCTGTGATGGATTTGTTAATAGAGTAGATTTATAGAGTAAAAACTGCTGAACAAAGAATTATGAGCTTAAGGATATCTCAATAGAAACCAACTGAAATAAAACAGAAAGTATACTAAAAAGAACAACAGAGTAACAGGAAATGTGACACAGGCAAAAAAGGGGAAACAAATGCATAACGGATATAAAAAGAGAAAGCAATAAAAGAAATATATGAAACAATGACTGAGCATTTCCTAAATCAATATTTAAAAAACACGGTGAAAATGATAAAATGGAAATAAAGTGTTTGTAACTGGGGAGAGAAGGAGAGGGTGAAGGGAGGGCAGGGACAAAGGGAAAAAATGAGAACCAAGACCCTTCATGTAAAGGTACAAGATCCCAGTAATGAATGCAACTGTACTGTATACCTAAACTGTACCAATAAACTCAATGAGGGAAAAACAAAAAACACAGAGCCAGGGAGCTCACAGAACATCAGTGGACATATGCCAAAAGCATAATGAAACAAATTTACACTTTTAGCCTGCAGAAAACCAAAACTAAAGAAAACTTCATAAAAGACACTAGAGGGACAAAAATACCTTACAGAGATGGAAAGACAAAAATTATTTTTGATGTCACAGACAACATGCAGAAAGGGTTTAAAAACTGTAGAATGAAATATATAAAGGATTAGAGAGAGATACCATCCCAGATTCAGGACCCTGTAAAATTACCTTTCAAAAACGAAAGACAAAAAAGCACTAACTCAGATGAGTGAAAATTGAGCCAATCTATTTCTAGTAGATCTGTCTTTCAAAAACACATTTATGTAATAGCATCCCAAGTAATGAAGTATCAAGGAATCAACCTAATAAAACAGCAAAAGAACTTTACACTGAAAACTACAACACTCTAAAAAAAGATTGAAGAGGATATAAGAAAATAGAAAGATATCCTCTGCTACTGGGTAGGAAGAATCAACATAGTGAAAATGGCCAAACTACCAAAACTGTTATACAGATTCAATGCAATCCCAATTGAAATTATAACAGTATATTTCACAGAACTAGAGATAACAATACAAAAATTCATTTGGAACCATAAGAGACCTAGAATAGCAAAAGGAACTCTCGGCAATAGAGACATAACAGGAGGTATCACAATTCCCCAACTTGAAACTATGCTACAGAGCCACTGTGATAAAAACAGCATGGTACTGGCAAAGAAAAAGGCCAGAGGATCAGTGGAATACATTGGAAAAATACAGAAAAAACTCCAGATGTACTCAACTACCTCATCTTTGACAAAGGAGCCAACCATCCTCACTGAATGCAAAATAGCCTCTTTGATATATGGTGTTAGAAAAACTGGATTTCAACCTGCCAAATATTAAAACTAGGCCCTTATCTTTCACCATGTACTAAACTGTAATCCAAGTAGATTATAGATCCAAATATTAAAAAAGAAACACTAAACTTGCTAGAAGATAAATTAGGCAGAACTTTTGAAGACATTGGCATAGGAAAAGACTTTACGAAAAAATCCTCAGTAGCACGGGAACTAGCAGAAAGAATCAACAACTGGGATCTCATCTTATTAAAAAGCTTCTGCACTGCAAAAGAAACCACCAAAAGAGCTAAGAGACAACCTACAATGTGGAAAAAATATTTACCAGCTGCTCCTCCTCAAAGGACTATATCGAGAATATATAAAGAACTCAAAAAAAATCAGACCCCCAAATATAAAGACCCAATTCAAAAATGGGCATCTGAAATGAACAGACATTTCTCAGACAAAGATGTAAAAGCAGCAAATAAATATATGAAAAAGTGTTCAACATCACCGGTCATTTGAGAGATGCAGATGAAAACAATACTAAGATTTCACCTCACCCCAGAAAGAATGGCTGCTATCAAGAAATCAACCAATAAGAAATGTTGGTGGGGTTGTGGCGAGAAAGGAACCCTTCTCCATTGTTGATGGGAGTGCAGACTGGTGAAACCACTGTGGAAATCAATATGGAGATACCTAAAAGAACTAGGACTAGAGGCTCCATTTAACCCAGCTATCCCTCTGCTGGGTATCTTTCCAAAAGATTAAAAGAATAATACCATAGTGATATACGTGCACCCATGTTTATAGTGGCACAGTTTGTAATAGCTAAAACTTGGAAACAGCCCAATTGCCCATCAGTTGGAGACTGGATAAAGAAGATGTGGTTTTTCTATGAAATAGAGTACTACTCAGCCCTAAAGAATGAGAAATTAGAGTGATTCATAGGAAAATGGATGCATATTGAGGATATACTCCTAAGTGAAATAAATAATTCACACATGTGTAAGTACCAAATAATTTCTCTGGTGTGAATAAATTATAATAGTACATAAGATCCTAATGAGATAACTGACAGTGTGAAATGGGAAGAAAAGGTCTAAAGCTGCTGGGAAAGTGGGAAGAGTTGGGGAAAGGAAATAAGGGAAAAGAAAAAAATATGAGAAAAGGAAAAAATGGAAACAAAGTCTTTTGAATAGGGAGTATTGGCGGGGCTGAAAGGAGGGCAGGGGTAAGGGGAAAAATGAGAACCAAGGTCTGTCAGGTAAAGGTACAAGATCCCAATGAGGAATGGAACTGTACTATATGCCTAAAAAGTACCAATAAACTCAATAAAAAAAACACATTCATTTGTGTATAGATGCATGATACAAATATCATTGCAAAAAGAATTTGAATGGGGTTTTCAGTGGATGAAAAGGAAGACAGACAATAAGTACAAAGAGAAAAACAAAGTTCACCCCCACATACACATTATAGTATCCTGTATGTTTTCCAAAAATAGGTACTACATTTGGACCTAAGTATCCAAATAGCTAATTATAGAAGAAAAGAAGGTGGTAGATGTTATAATCACTAAGCATTATAAACTACAATGCACTAAAAGTGGTAAACCTGAGTAGGGCTTTCACTCCAGCAGGTTTATTTTTCAACTTTCAATTTAGAAATACTTATAAATCATTTCCCTGATGTAAAATCAGAATTCTGTGGTATTAAAAATAAAGAATCAATAGGTATTCGGGTATTTCCCAAGTATATTAAAGGGAGGGTAAACTTGAAGAATTTCCCAATTAGAGAGAAATTATTGGGTGCTAGAAAGCGTGGCTATGTTTAATCCTCATTATGGCTTCAGACTGAAACCTTGAGAGTAAAATGGGCAGTCCTGTCCTTCAAAGCCTCCTGGGCAAGGCAGAATGGCTCACAATAGGAAGGTGCAGCCTCCTCTCTCAGGTCTGCACCAGGAAATCGCAGATTATTGCACTCGCACACAGCAGCGTTTGGGTTAGTTGAGAGCTCCATGGTGCGGTGCAGTTAAATAATGCAAGAGTGACTGTCCCTCCCCTGAGAAATTTGGGTACAGGCATTGGAGGGAAAAACAGGCCTCATGGTCTGGTAAAAAGTTTTTATTACATGTGACACAAAGAGATGTAAATAGAGACGGTATGAGAGCAGCACTCAAAGCCCATTAAGTCTTCTTTATAAACAACCAACCCTAAGGGAGAGTCCAAGGACCAGCTATGGGGCTGCCCTAGTGACACCAAACATAAGGAACCTACCTGTAAAATGACCCTCAACCCTACGGCCCCATCAGCAGTAAGACATGGTGAAGGCTAGATTATAGCATGTCATCAGAGCCTGTGTGTGTGTGTGTGTGTGTGTGTGTATGTGTGTGTATGTGTGTGTGTGTGTGTATTTCTGGGGATTGAACTCAGAACCTTCATATTGAGCTACATACCAAATCCTTCTATCATTATTATTAATTATTTTATTTTGTGACAGTCTTGGCTAACTCACAAATTGCTCAAGATGGACTTTATCTTATGATCCTCCTGCCTCAGTTGGCAGAGTGCTGAGCAGAAAAGTCCCTGATTGACCCATACAACTTACCTTTGGCTCTTGTGCTGGGGAATTCAAGGCTGCTAGAGCCCTCAGGTGGAGCCTTGTGACATCTAGAATGAGTGAACACGAGGCAGCTCTATTCACCTCTTTTTACAAGTGAGGTAAATGTTCTAGTATTGAAGAATCTGTATAAAACGCAGAGGTTTAAGAGCTGTAAGTCCTGACTTTAAAAACTAGCTTTGCCATAGTAGCTGTGTGATCTGGGGAGGTTCATCTTCCTGCTTCCAGTCCAGAAGGGGGTCAAAGACAAGACCTTAAAAAAAAAAGGTAAAAACAAAAACAGTAGTGAAAATAACGCTGAATGTGGCCTTAAGGAGTGAAGGCTGCCATCTCCTGGTTCTACCACAAACAAGCCAATGTCTTAGGTAAATCACTTAAAATCTTAGGTTTTATTTTATTTAATTTGAACTAGCAAAACCAATTCTCTATGTTTTCACTAAAAGCCCAGGAGATGGTGGAGGCACCAACATTTTATAAATAAGTCTTCAAATAATGGAGATAAGCCCTGCTGCATTTCTGTTCTTTTCTAACAGCGTTATTGATATATAATTCACATAGCACACACCTCCCTATTTAAATATATAATTTAGAAATTTTTAATATTTTCAAACAGTTGCATGCAACCATCACAATAATCAATTTTGTAATTTTTTTTATAATAACACATAAAAGAAAACTCCATCTCCTCTAGTAGTAACAGATTTCTCATGTTCCCTACTCTCTATCAATGTAAATTTGCCTCTGCTGGACATTTCGCAGTAGTCGGAATCATATAATACATGGTGTTTTGTCGTGGGGTTCTTTGACTTAGGCATAATATTTTCAAGATTAACCCACTCTGCAGCAGGTTTAAATATTTCACGCATTGTTTTAAAAACAGGGAAAGTTTATTGAGCTCACAGTTTGTAGAGGTTTCAGTCTTCAATCAGTGGGCTCCAAGGGTGGCACATGGGCCAGGGCCTTAGGAGGGGAGAAATGGTTCATGGGGTCCGTGCAGTAGTGAAGCAATACATGACCTTAACAGCATCTTTCTTCCCTTTTATTACATTCAGACTATTGGGTGTAGAGCGGTGTCAAGTCGAACACCACATGTTGTGGTTTTAGTAATCATGTGCCCTATGCCCAGCACCACACATTCCAGATTTAGCCTTCTTTGAAAAAGTATGAGGCTTTGGGGGGACACCTCAACACAAGCCATAACATTCCACCCCTACCCCCAAAGACTCATGCATACCCCTTTATGCAAAAAAGGATTTAGTCCACTTCCAGGAGTTGTCTAACTCCAAACAGTTTTAGCACTCCTAACAGTTCAAGCCCAAAGTCTCTTGAGATTTAAGGGAAACTCTTAGCTGCAGGCCCATGTACAAAGGAAGAAAAAGTTATACACTTCCAACACTCAGTGGCAGAAGATAGACATTTCCATTTCAAAAGTTACAGATAGTGACATACAAAGGAATGGGACCGAAGCAAGACTAAAACCCAGCAGGACAAATTTAAAGTCTCACATTTCCACTTCCAGCACGCTGGCAATCTGCGATGAGTTCTGAACTCCAAATGGCTTGCATAGCTCTGCCTCTGTGACGTTTGTGGTGGTGGAAGTTTCCAACACTTCTCTCTGGGACCAGCTCTGATCCCTCCTTGCAGTTTTCCTCAGATGATCCATGTTCCTGGCTTCTGGAAAGTTCTGGGGTCTCCACTGCACCTTAAACTTCACACTCACAGTTTCACGCACTGCCCACTCAATGGCACACACCTGGCCTCCCGGGCGTTCTGGAATGTGGGTGGAAACCTTCCCGGCCCCACAAATCTTCCTTTATGTATGTGCCTAAAACCAGCACCTCTCGGATAATGCCAAGGTGTGCTGCCAGCTGGAGCAATAGCAGCCAGTGTGCACTCTCGCTTGGCTATAGGGGTCAAATACTTGGATGGCTGAGTGCTCTGAATCCAACTCTGAGGGACACATTTTCTAGGCTGCTGCCATTCTGGAACATGGTGCTCTGGGGCCCTCTCAAAGCAAAGGCTTTCAGGTTTTTTTTTGTGTGTTTTTTTTTTTGAGGCTATAAGGGTGGAGTCCTGCTGCTTCTTGTGATGCCCTCAGGCCATCTTTAATATTTTCATTTTCCTACTTAGCAGTCAAGATATTCTCTGTTCTGTCTTTGCAGACCACAGCTTTCCTGGAGCTTCCTTTCTAGACAAACTCGAAATGTTTAAAATCATTTTGCTGGGCTCATTTCTCTTTATTCTCAACATAGATCTGGCGAAAGCCCCCACCAGCGGCCATGCCACAGCCTCTACATCAGCCTACCTTGAAATTTCTTCTGCTATATTTATTAGTCCACTGACCTCAATCTCAGTCTTAGGCAAAGTCTCTGGACAGGAGTGAAATGCAGACAAACTTTCTCCCAACCCATAACACACATCATCCGGAAGGGACACTAATGCAGACCTTAATCCCAGCAGAAACCTCCTAAACCTGGCTTTCTGTTATGCTGAGCTCTGCTTAGAATCTCCATACAGAGCAGCCTGCAGTGTTGCACCTCTACATTTTCACCAGAATCTCTGACTCTCCCCTAACTCTGCCCTTTCCCACAAGCCAGGTCCAAAGGCTCTTAAGCCACATGGCCAGGTAATGTCAGAGCAATGACCCCGCTTCTCTGGTACCAAATTCTGTGTTTTAGTTAGTTTTCTCTTATTGCTGAGACAAAATACCTGACATCCATGGATAAAGGAGGAGGTTGATTTAGCTCGCAGCCTGTACAGGTTTCAGTCTATCATCATCTGGCTCCAAGGCAGAGCAGCCCATGGTAGAAAGGCATGACAGAAGAAAAACAGTTCATGGCACTGACAAGGTAGAAAAGCAACAAGGCTCATTCACTTTTATGGAAAAGAATATCGTATTTTATTTATACATTTTGTGTGTAGATGGACTTTTGTATTGTTTCATCTCTTGAACTATTATGAAAACTGCTACCAAGGAAAAGTAAGGGGCTAGGATTTACTGTGTTATTGTGGCAGGGGCTGAGGTTTTTGTCTAATTTCCTATTCAAATTAAGGCAGACACTATACAGTAATTGAAAACTTTTTACTGAACTTTTATAGCTATTACTGTGGTTTCATAGCCTTACTGAACCACAACAGTGGCACTTTATAGGTGTAGCTGAACACTGTCAGAAAGGGTCAGTATACAGGATTTGGAACCCCTTTGTAAATTTACCCTAAATTACTATTAACATTTTTATATATCTTGGCTATATTTTCTTGCTGGATGTTTAAAACCAAGTTTAAGTGAGATATGTAGTAACTAGAATTAACCTTATGATGTATATTAAAGTCAGCTAAGGCTCCACTGGAGTTACTTTTGAAACCATACAGTCTCTTAGCTCCTCTGCCAATATCAATGATCAGAATAGGTCATGGTCTATGCTAGACGGCATGCCTCTTCTTGGAAGTGTGGAAACCTTTTTTTTGTGGGGGGGGGGAAACCTCCTTCCAGCATGTTGTAAACTGCTTGACTTTTGTCTTCCGGGCTTACCAATCTCCTTGCTTAGGGGATTGGATGACTTACCAAAGTTGTAGGATCCTGGAGAAAGTCATTTCAAGTCCTGGGTCCATAATATGGCTGTCCTCTAGACCAGTTATCCTTCTACTTTTGGTCTCTTAAACCTTGGTTGTTGAACACCTCAATCAGTTGTGCTAGTATGGAAGTGGGAGCAACCATGATTGCCTACAAAGTCAAATTTTTATAGAATAGTTTGATATAATAGGTATAACATCTTTATAGTGAGAGTTTGGAGTCAAGAGCAAAACATAACATTTGAGCACAACAATTATGTTGATGCTATTAGTTGAGAAGCGTGGGTGAGGTTTTTTTTTTAAGTATTGTATATTTTATTTATTTATTTATTTTTGGGACAGTGTCTCACTTTATGGTTCAGACTGCCCTAGAGCTCACTATGTAGTTCAGGCTGGTCTTGAAGTCACAGTGAGCCTCCTGCCTCAGTCTCCTGAGTGCTGGGATTACAGGTGTTCACCACCACGTCTGGCAGTACATATATTTAACCTCTTATTTTTGCATAGAATAAACCTTATCACAGAGAAGAGCTGTAGATTGTTAGATGGGATATTTGTTTAATATCTCTCTTTATTAGAAAACCATTTTTGAAATTTTATCTTTTTTCTAACAAGGTTGAGTTCATACAGCATGACTTATAGATGTTAGGACCATCTCTCAATACAAAAGAAAGCCTGTACATAGAGCACAGAGGATACTTACCCTATTTTTTACAAAATAAGCCTAGTTGGAGCATCATATTACTATTGACTCTTTTTTTTCTTATTGGCTAGGTCTTGTCACCTCCCAATGGATACTTTAACCATACATAGGAAAGAAATCAACCATTTTCTCAATGACCTTGATAAAATCTCCCATCCAAAACACACACACAAAGAATGCAGGAGGCATGAGAGAGTCCCCCGCTGCACCTGTCTGACGACCTCCTTTCCTATCCTCTATGCTTCGGCAGCAATGCAAGACTGATTCCCCCTTCCCCTATCAGCAGCACCTGCTACTTGTCCGGGCCTACGCAAGCCGCCAAGGGAGCATTCCAGGAGCTATTTGCTTTCTCAGAGCTCTTCCCCCATTTCTGGCTATAATAAGGGATTCTCTGCTTTTCCACTGCCCTGGGACAGCAGGAAGGTTGAGCCCATTTTCCTTTAGCGTCCTGGTTGGCGTGGCAAGCTGCCTCAGTCAACACCTGGGATGAAATGGGAGGAGGTGTCGCCTTTAGGGGCAGATTTTAAGGTCCCCTCTGCCTGGAGAATCTCTTAGCCAGAATGGATTTTTGAGAACTTTCTCAAGAGCAGTGAAAGCCTCTCTGGAAAATGTCTAGCATGAGATACGTCAAGTGGCTGGCTTTTTCTTAGGAAATTTAAAACTTATTTTATCTTCAGAGGTGCAGATAGTGAAGCAGCTTAGGAGACAAACAACCATTTTTATGTCAGGATGTGTGCTCCTTGTACATTGTAAGATGTGCTGACAGTGGGGGAGATCTCTATTGTGTGTTAAGTAGGTGTCTTTTCTCTGTCTGTATATATCTTTTTAGTCTAGCCTGAATAAAAGGTGAGACATTTTTCTCCATAAGGGGAAAAAAGAAGAAGTATCTATAAATATCTTCCTGGTCTGGGCAAGGGGGGACATTAACTGAGGACCTTTGAGGCCCAGGAGAAAGCCTGGAATAAAAATTAACCTTTTAAAATATTCTATTCTGGCCTCCAGTTTGTAAACTAAAACCGTAAGGTGACATTTTAGGGACATACATTGAGCCCTCTACAAGCATTTAAGATATATGTTATTTAATATTCAATGTGTACTTTTGGGC